TTGGGCTGAGAACTCTTTCTGCTAAATCTGTGAGGGTACAGAAAGAAAAACCAGAAGCGGATGCAGTTCTTTCAAGGGCTAAAACATCACAAAAGGATACAGAACAGAATTTGGAGGTAAAACAAAACCGACTCCAAACCAATATACCTTAGCTATTTAAGGCAACAAGAGATGCTTCTTTGGGCTTTCCCATGCTCTTTTCCCATTAGGCTCCCAACGCCTTTAGCATGGTATCTTGAGATATGCAGAATTTCCACCAATTACAGCCACCAGTTGCACTGCAGTTGTCACAGAACCTATAAGCAGGCTTTAAAAGAGCAGCCATAAACATACATGGCTGGCTGAAAAATCCAAATGTCTGATTTTTAATTCAGTAAGAGTGATGGTCACACAGTAGTGACTCAAGGACAGACCCCATCAGCAAAGTGATTTTGTCTTGCTCACCAACTGGCCAGGTTAGTTGGTAGGATCACAGTACTTACGAGAAACCAGGGCTGGAAGGAGATAGAATAGAATAGAATAGAATAGAATAGAATAGAATAGAATAGAATAGAATAGAATAGAATAGAATAGAATAGAATAGAATAGAATAGAATAGAATAGAATAGTTCCCGTTGGAAGGGACCTACAACGATCATCTAGTCCAACTGCCTGAAGACTTGAGGGCTGCCCAAGAGTTAAAGCATATTATCAAGGGTATTGTCCAAATGCCTCTTAAAAATAAATAGGCCTGGTGCATTGCCCACCCCTCTAGGAAGCCTGTTCCAGTGTCTCACCACTCTCTATGTCAAGTCTGAAACTACCCTGACGCAGCTTTGAACCATCCCCACACATCTTGTCACTGGGTACCAGAGAGAAGAGCTCAGCACCTCCCTCTCCACATCCCCTCCTCAGGAAGCTTTAGAGAGCAATGAGGTTGCCCCTCATAGAATCATAGAATGGTTCGGGTTGGAAGGGACCTCAAAGATCATCTAGTCCCAACCCCCCTGCCATGGGCAAGGAAACCCTCCAC